AGGTAGGTACCTACGCACCTCCATATGTAACTTATTCCGGTAGCGCGCAGTATACAGGTAAAACTTCTGGGAGCAAAGATGCTCATAGAAACACAGATACACTACATGTAAGCAATAGACGGGAGGCAACGGTAGACACGTGAGGTCTTGAACTGGTAAATAGATCAGTAGTACATAATTGGACCGAGTTGCCAATGCCCATACGCACCGTACCGTACGTGTGTAGTTCCGATAACCGGATTACTATTCATACCTGTAGGTACCTTGATGCCACAGTGGATATGCCGGCTATACCGCTTGAATCGGTCTCACTTTCAGGACTCTAACTCCGCGTGCGACCGGCAGGTCACGCCTACCTACCTTACATATTCTCATCATGCCGTGTGACCACACCTCTCATTGTCGGGGTCTCGCGGGACTCGGGCGGCCCTGTTGATTACCAACTAGTGGGTGTAGTGTAGATGTCGGGTCGGGCATTGGATCAAAGTCCGTGTTGTACGAGTACACACTAAGGTGGATAGCTCGGCACCCATCCAAGCTTCCACGTTGGCTCAAACAGGCCACGACGATCGTCATTGGACATACCCGCAGACGGATGCGGCCGCCCCAGTGCCTGCAGGGTATAGTCTAGCGTGCCTAGTCTGCCCAGGCTAGTCACAGACTACCGGTGTGATGTGGTTCGATGCTGTCATTGCATAGGTAGGTACCTGTAGACTGTAGCACCTACATACCCACATGTGTTATGTAAGTACTCATGCCAGTACTTCGTGCCTCGGATTTATCTACATGCGCGCGAAGTAGGTACTGCTAGGTATATGTAGCCTGAATCATTGTCCGGTGACGTGACAGAGCCGTGGGGACCTGGCTCGATACATAGTTTATGTAAGTATAGTCTATGCAGGTAGGTATGGTAAGCAAGCATTCTCACCTTCTTCTATCTTCTGCGAAAATCGCTGGTGGCAGTCCGGAACGTTCGGATGACAGATGAATGAATCCTCAGTCAGGTCCTGACTGACTCAGTCAAGTCACCCCTCATGCGCATTCTCCACTACCTAATGCGGACCTAGTCACTTACACTAGGCAATACAGTCCCGTTTACAGCACGCACGGTGAAGCGAATCAATGTTAGCTAGCTAGCTAGCTGCCGCCAATGGAGCCCGAGCAACTGCTTTCGATATGAGCGAGAGCTCCGAGGTGCCGCAGCTCACCCTGGTCACGGTTGGCGCACTAGGCTGGGTTGTTGAAGCCTCGCGCACGAGACCCGCAGACCAAGAACTCCGATATCCATCATCGTACGCATCGCCAGCGTGATGAAATGCCTACTGCTATCTAGGTACTGTCTCTCCATGTACAGGCAGGTAAGGTAGGTACCTGCCTACCTGTATACTATACCTAGATGTGGCAACCGACAGTGCCTACATGTATGTATTTACTACCTGCATGTAGGTAGTATGTATATTATAGGTACTTCGTGTTTATCTACGAAGGCCCACCCTCACCTTCCTTCAGTCCATCACGTTCCCTTATTACTACTACTACCTCACTACATAGCTTCTTATACCTATTTTACTTACCTCCCTCCCTTCCTACTGGCTACCTCATATGTGTAGGTACCCTACCTTTGCAAATAATTATTAATACGGTAATATACCCAAGTTTCGTAGACGCTCGGCCTACCCTCCCAACCAAGCAACACCTCGTTCACCATTCAAGATTATCTCGCTACCAATCCTCACAAGATCGTGTCTGGCACGCCTGGCAATAAGACAATCCATCATCCGCCTCTTGTCTGCTGTACAGGCTAGCTCCAACGTACATCGAATACCGCGAGCGTCTAGCTATCCGGACAGAGCCTTTCTCCAGATTTCGACGGGAGTGTGCCGCTGATGCGCTCGGGTTTCGTTCGCATTCAGCCACTGCCCTTTGTCGTTGCTGTCCAGCCGCAAACATATAGGTAGGGAGGGACGACTCCGGGGAAACGCGGTTTTGTGCGCTTCATAGTCAGTCAACGTGGTTCGGAGCGAGGCATCATGCCGTCAACGGCTGGAAGAGTCTTCAGATTGCTAGCCTTGCTAGCTATCGCCGGCGCTATTCCCGAGGTTTTCGCACACGGCAGCAGCGAGGGCGCGATGGATATGGGCAACGACGGCGCCATGGGTGGCCACGGAAGTATGGGTGGCGAAGATCCCAAACCGGACCCCGACTCATACCCTGCGACGTACTTTGCGCATCCTGAGCATGTCAACACAATATATGCGCACATTGGAATCATGGTCATCGGATGGGTATTCATCCTCCCAACAGGTACGCGACACTCTCTCCTCCTCTTCGACAACCAGGACCCGGAATTCCTACTAACCAAGAGCCTGTAGCCGTTATGCTTTCGATTGCGCGATCACGATATACCCTTGCCGCTCAATTCCTATTCTTGCTCACGAACGCGATGGGCGTTTTGGTAGGCATCGTGTACAACGCGAACACGCCCGATTTATACCCGAACAACGCACATCATAAACTTGGCTGGCTCGTCACCTGGGTGGTGGGTGCTCAGGTTCTTGTAGGTCTCGTAGGCCGAGTTGCCGGCATGATGAGCAGCACATCCCGCCAGGGGCGTGGCAAGGAGGAGGAGCAATCGTTTATACCCGTCTCGACGGAGGCCATGGCTGAGCACCACCGGATACATAAAGACATGTTTTCCTCGCCGTACCGAGAATCCAACGACAGCGGTCAGGGAACGGAGCGAAATACGGAGTCGCTTCGAAGTGCTTCGCTCTCCACCATGGTTGGCCATGAATCGCCCATTGAGCATAGCGACCGACGGGCACACTACGAAGAGGACGACGATGATCTGCCTTTCAAGCCCGCCGAGATGGCATCCTCGAGCGCTGCGCGGTCGTTGATCGCCAGGGTTGCCAGCAAAATCTCCAACAAAGCGTGGAAAGTCATCATGTTCGGTTATGGGTTTGTGGACCGTACCATCCTTATTCTGGGGTACATCACTCTCTGCACGGGACTGATTACATACGCGCGTTTCTTCGTAAGCCAATCAACAGTGAATCGTCCCCGTTTTTCATGCAAACCCCCTAATCGCCGTGACAGGAAGGACATGAGGTCTTCAGTGGATTAGCGCATTGGATTAAAGGTGGTATCTTTTTCTGGTATGGCATTTTGACATTGGGCCGCTGGTCCGGTAGCTTCGGAGAGCTTGGCTGGGTGAGTTGCGATGTCCCTAGAGCTCAGCGGGCTATGATATGCTAACCCTGAACCTAGGCATGGAATGTCCGCCCTAAGCAGCAATCGCAAAAATGGAGACCCAGTGCTGAATTTGCTGAGGGTGCGCTCATCTTCACATATGGTGCAACGAACATCTTCCTAGAGCACCTCGGCAGCTCCGATGCCCAGTTCAGCTCTCAGGACCTCGAACATGTTTCAATTACTGTCCTCTTCATCGGAGGCGGCTTGGTACGTTCTAGTGGTGGTAAAGCGCGGTTGTGCCAGAGACTAACAGAGCCGGCAGCTGTCCATGCTCATCGAGTCTAGTCACATCCGTGATTTGCTGAACACGACGACCACGGAAGCGTCATTATCGCACCCCGATCATACCTTTAGCGATGAAGAACGCGGTGCACTCGAGCCGCCGCGGCAGTATGCGTTCTCGATCAACCCGATCCCGGCCCTTGTAATTCTCTTGCTCGGTATCATGATGAGCTCGCACACGCAGCAGTCCATGATATCAACAATGGTTCACAAACAATGGGGTAACTTGCTAACGGGGGCATCGTTCGCGCGAGGCTTCACATATGTACTACTCTACCTAAAACCTCCGAGCTCTGTGTTACCGTCCCGGCCACCTACGGAGCTTCTGACAGCCTTTGGTCTAATTTCCGGCGGCACCATTTTCATGGCAAGCGTAAGTCAATGTCGAGGCTCCAAAACTAAAGTCGAGTAAACGTCTAATCAAGTCAACAGAGTGGTGACACTGTAGTGGGCATGATTCATTACAACCTGGATGCCATGTTTTTCTATACTGTGACGATGGGACTAGTTGGTGTTCTCATGGCGTGGATTGTCCTGCTCCTTGCCTTCAAGGGGTGGGCTGTACGCAGAGAATCGACTCATGCCCACGGTTGGAAACATCGACCAAGAAGCTGACATTCTACCGGATAAAATGAATTCACGAATTGATAATAAACCGTCACCGTGTCCAAAATCGGATGCATGGTTTTTGCATGAGACGAGCAGCTCAACATACGAATTCTGCCCCGTTTACCGGCGTATTTATGACGGCGTGGCTTTGACACCAAACGGCCAACCTCATCGTTGTTTTAACGTTCCCGGACCTTTATTTACTTTCAAATGATACCCCTTGGGAGAAGACTTGCTTTATTTCTTTTGGCGGTTCTGGATAAATGCATCGCGCCGGCTGTGGAGAGTGGTCGGCTAGGGGGAGGAGAGGATGATAATGACGGTAATGAAGATGATGGAAGGGAGGACGGCTGGACATTATTATAGAAGGGGGAAACCCAGGCTCGTGGGGTTCACGGATTACACAACTGGGAGCCGTATCGAGTATCTGACGTTCAATGCCACTCGCTTTACTCTATGATCGCAAATTGTAACCGCTCACTCACTGGTCCTGATCTGTCTTAATTAGGTGCTTAAGCCTAGCTTTATTGATATCATGTCTTGCTTCGAAATATGCTAGATACAACGGATAGCTAGACTAATGTTGCATATACCAAATTTCTACCATCTGTAACAAAGTGCTTCAGTTGTGCCTACTAATATACAGGTCTCCCTCTCCCGGAGCAATGCTAAATTTCTCCACCTATAATGGCAGCCTATCTATTTCATTTACTAAGTTAGACTTTTTAAGAACTTTAACACAAGCAAGTAGGATTTTAAAATTGCCGACATTAATATTATGCAACCAGGCAGAGAGCCCCTCAAAGCGGGGTAGCTACTAGTTAAAATAAAAATAAAAGGGAAGAAAAAAATTGCGACATGTGCAGGATTTGAACCTACGCGACCGAAGTCATGAGATGGCTTAAACTCAGCCGAATTCAAGTCTCACCCATTAACCACTCTGGCAACATGCCGTTATTACTAATCCTTTAGTTAATACTATTTCGTCAAACGCAAACAGACCTATGTAGAAATTGATGTTTCTTACTTACCGAGGTAGGTAATTAGAGTACACAGGCAAATACGTCCAGGTCTACCAGTTAGTATGAATAGGAACAGGATAGATATGGGGTATTAGGTGTTGTTTTCCTCTCCTGCCTTTTCACAGCTTCGCTGGCTATTTAAAAACTCTTTATTTGTTGTACAGTAAAAACTATCATTCTTGCTAATTTTATCTCGACCCTGTGTTGCACAAGACACCCTGGAAAGGCTTGTTCAAAGGATGAATGGAGAGACAGCACCCTCGCTATCACCGTGGAAGGCCGCTGACACTCCTGTTCCTCATCTAGCTTGCTAGAGGGAGGGCTTTGCTATCAATAGATGGCTTGAAGGATGGACGATGCCGCGGTTGAATACTAATTATTCTCTTCCTTCGGCAATGTTGATCATCACGTACGTTTCGAGAGTGGTTTCGAGGTTGTGAGTCACCAGTTTGATATATTCACTGAGCAACAATAAGGTTCAGTTGAGCAACAACGGCGACGAAAGCGGGCAATCACCCGGCCCATCTCGACGAATTCTGTACGGCTTTTGAAGAAACGGTGTAGTATTGACTTCAGCTTTTAGAGCTAACCCCTGTAGACGCAGCGTGAACAGTCGGTACATGCGTAGGGAAACGCATCATCTGCGCCATCTCTTCGTTTGCTTTGCTGGCAGCAATTGGCACTCGTGACACCGGTCTATTGTTGTAGCCGCCACTTACAAGTATATCTGGAGCGTCTCCACATACGCTCTGCCCCGAAGTCAGCATAGAGGGAAATAATCCTACGGGCTAGCGAACATAATAGGATATGTATGGCTCATCCATCGCACATCTTCATCTTCCTCGACACGCTCTGAATGTCGAATGAACTATCTGGGCCCAGTCAGTGTCCAACTACGATAAGAGGCGGGGGTAGGGTATCAGAACGTACCGTGGTGGCACCGGTGACTTGGAGCAGAGGTGGAAAGTCCATCGCAGCAGCAGCAGTGATAACAATGTCAGCGTCGCTGCCGGTTCACATACCCGACTCCGACATGGAGGACGCCGGCACTTGGACCTCACGCAGACTCCCCTGCTTCACTGCCACCACCCCTACTAGCCCGCCCCGCATCGACGACTCTCTTTTGATCTGCCGCCGAGAACATTGAGGTACCTTGTTGCAATGATTTGATGAGCAAAGGCAGTGCATCACCCTTGAAGTCGTCGGCACTGCGGATCTTGTCCAGATCCTCGGCGAATTCCTTGGTGGATTGTTGCAAGTAGTAGGATGTAAAATCCACGTCCATCGCTTGGTCTTTGCCCGTCATTTTTGTCGGTTTCCGATGCTATGATTACAGGTTGTGCTGTTCGGGGGACGGACGCGAGCGGATTAATCTGCAAGGTTGTTGTTTACGTTTGACAGTCTTTGCTTGAACGTTGAAAGTGAGATGCTTGAAACTCGTTGCTTAACTAGAGCCTGTCACTCGTCCCTGATAAGCTGGTCCCCACACTCCTTATCTGACAGATCCCTCGACAACCCTGCGATGCACGGCTCCCACGTTAAAATCAACCAACCAACATAAGCTGTAATTACTGACCTGCAAAGCATTGTGACTGTGCCTCCTCATAGCGCGTTCTTCAGCAGTCCCGCCTTCGGAACCAGCTGGCCGTTTACCGGGAGACTCGAGTTTCCTAGCGAGGGTCCTACATACCTTAATCATCGGGTTCGCCCATGCCAGCTTGGTTCCAAGCTGAATTCGCGCGGTCTCTTGTCAACTTGGCTGAACCATTGTGGCAGCCCCTGAACCAATTTATTAGCTCCCAAATCGGAGTTGCAGTAACATTCAAGGATGCATAGGTTAAGTTCGAGGCCTCGAAACCCAAGCAGGGCGAGGGGTTAAATTTTCGACCTGCCAGACTTTCCTCTTCGTCATGGGTGAGTAATAATAGCATGTCTCTGTCATCGCATCGGATAGCGTCTAGCACTTGAAAAAAGTAGTAAATAAATGGAAGCTCTATTCATGACATGATAGACGGTCTAGTACCCGGGGGTAGAAGTTCACCGCACTTGGCAACATGGGCCACGAGTAGTTCATTCAACGGAGGTTGTAATCCTCAATATTCACCTTGCCATCGTGAATGTCCTTCACAATATCTCCTTCATAGTACATCAACCCATCACAATATGCCTCACCAATCACCTTCCAAAACTCTTCTTTGGATTCTTCCTTCATTTCACTTGTGCGAGCTAATTGCTGGAAGCCCCTACAAGTCTCAAACCATCTCGTCTGTCGTCTTCTTTTACTCTTATCGTCTTGTCTCAGCCCCAGTTTCTCGCAGGCTTTCGGCTCAGAGCGTGTATACATTCTCCTCTCCTAGCAATGACATCCAGGCGAAACCCCTTTGCTCTGAGCACACGCTGCCCCAGGTCAGCTTCAACCCATGGCTCAGAATTACCAGTTGTACAGTAGTCCCTCATTAGATAGAGGCACCTCATACATCGAAAAGGGCTCGAAGGGACTCAGGCCGAAACCGTCGTTCAAGATTCGCCAATCGCGGCACCAACCTGCGCCCTGCAGCGCACATCCTGGAGCTAGAGCTACCACAGAAAATGTCTTGTCCTCCGCGAGACTCGCCAACGTGAAGTCGAGAAAAACCTCGTCGGGAGATTTGCTGTAGTCGGGAGACACCCTTGTAGCGCAGCCGGGCGGCAACAAGCCGTGGAGAGCGTAGATCTTATCAGAGCCCAAAGTGGCAAGCTGGTGACGGAAATTATAAACCAGGTCAAAGAGTGTTATCGGGGTCGCGTTGTCAGAGGAAAGCTCATCGCGCAGTTGCTGAACGCCGTCTGAGAAATCCGCTGATACTGCGGATTGGATAACACGTTCTTGGAGGGCTTGTATATGAATAGGGCCTGAAGGGTCATAGGGAAGTTGCGCTGGGCCCCTTCGAGCAACTACGTGCCTGGCGACTACAACTTCTTGAACAATCCACGCGAGAGACCACCATTCATGAGAGACAATTCTCTTCAACTCCATTTGAATACGCCACCAGCCCCACGAAGATGTAACATTCGCCCATAGGCGGTAGCGGTCCTCCTCAGTTCTTGTGTCGCCAAACTGCCGGACAAGGTTAAATGCAGCAGCAGTAAGTTTCGAGCCGGTACCGAGCCACACTATGACCTTGGAAGCTTTAGAATAGATTGTCTTCATGAGACGGACTTGATTACTCTTCTCTACATTGTCGAACTGATTGATGCGAATAGCATCAATCCACACTAGCCTGCATCCGTCCGGTCGGCGCAATTGGCGGAGTGCCGAAAACAAGTTATACGTAACATAGAAATCGTTCCCATTCACTTTGATCTTATAAGGAAACATAGTTATACCCCACACATAGCTTATACGGGGGTATATAATGTCGTAGACTGGAATCCGGTATAGTAGGAACCAGACAAGGAAACTCGCCAGTAAGCCGAGGAGCCAGGCAACGACTATACTGACGAGAATAACCCCAAAAATAGCGACGGTTGCTATGGTCAAGACGCATAAGCTGACAAATACTGGTATAAACACGAAAGTAGTGACTGTAGAAGAGGCAATTACAAAGTTCACGCGAGAAACGCGCGGCTGAAAGGTCAGATTGCGCTCGCGGTAAACGCGGCGGTAGGAGCGGAAGAAAGAGGAAAATAATGTAAGGCGAGTGCTGCAGGTCCAGCGATAACTCTGCACCGAGAGCGGCGACGTGATTGGGGAAATAATAAACACCCGTAATCTTGATCTGATCGGACACGAATTCCCAGTTCAGACGCGTGCCGGGTGGGTACACCATCCAGAAGGCGGAAAACATGTTGCAATGAGTTTCGTGGGCGGGATCACCTCAAAGACGCAACCTTCTGTTCCTCAGTCGAGAAAGGGATTGATATTCCACCTACGGCGCGCCTACGCACGTGATACATACATATCATAGCCGCAGAACGAGCAAGGCGATCCGATTCCCCGCAGCCGCGACCGTGTGTCGGCAGAAGATTTAAGCTTAACTACGTGAGCATGGGTGGAAAATAATAATAGAAAACTTGAAGACTGGATTATTTAAAGCTGACCACGCATAGATAATAGTCTGCCGGTTATAGAGACTGGTACTACACCGGATATTATCTGCGACTGGCAGCCTCCTACCCCTACACCAGAATGTAGCAGCCAGCGTAGACAGGGCGCAACTGTGTGGGGTAGCGTCTCAACAGGACCTTTGAAACAAGAACAACAAGGGATGGGACGACGGGATACCAAGCGGGGTTTATGATCCGAGCAGTTATAGGATAACACACCCGACCCTTAAGTTTCGAACACTCTGGCGCTAAAGTTGTGTGTGGTCTGAAAAGGCCTTGAGCGCCACGTGCGAAGTTATGATGTGATGTGAATAAGATCATCGGAAGATCTGATATTTCTATTGTCCTTTCTTAGTAAAGCTTCTAGTCTTATACAGGCATGTCAGGTTGTTGGCTGAATGCAAAATGCAGAATAGAGAACAGGAGAGAGAAAGAGGATGCTGCCATATGAGGGGCGACGCCGACGTGTGGTTACGACTGTGCTTTCAGCACCTACAGATACGATTGCCTACTCCCCAAGGATTTTTCTAGAGTCAAGGTAATGGATCAATATAGAAGCGTATTAGAGATATTATACTTCAATATGAACTCGTAACGCCTATCCATTAGGTTCACTGCGTAGTTCACTACCTGCTGCGATTCCTAGCAGTCCAATCCCAAGCAGTCCTAATTTATTAAAATTTCGTGCTATAACGTGGCGAGGTCGACATCGTCAATACGTATTGGTTGAACGCGTGAATCAAGCATCCACCAAGTCGTCAACTACCCATCCAGAGCTCGTCGGACCCTGTCGAACCTGACCTCTGCATCGGGTTTGAGTTGCTGAAACCCGGACTAAAGTCGGA